GAGGGGGTGGGGAGGGGCTGGGTGGGGAGGGTGGGGCTGGGTGGGGAGGGGCTGGTCACCCCGTGGTGCCCTTATAAAACTCAACGTTTAACCTACTCACGCCGGCTTGTGCCCGCCCTCACAGTCGGGCATATTTGCGGAATACACCACGCCGCCGTTGACCCTGGCCATTGACCGAGCAATCCAGCGTTCCTACCAGCTCCCTCCGCAGCAGGAATGTGTTATAAGGACGCAGAACCTTCTGGAAAGATCCGAAGGGGGCGTGGCCGAGGCCGGAGCGAGGCCACGCTCAGGAGGATAAAGGGTCTGTCCCGGGAGCGTTCTTGGCTGTCTTCTGAATCAAACGGCTGTGCTACGCTCTTTGGGCTCGGTCGTCACATTCAACATCATGGTCAGCAGTACTTCACTGACCTGACCCGTTTATATAGTGACCTTGTTGAGGTCTAGCTCCGTGGTAGTTACCACGTAGTTATCCCGAGTGTTACGTAGTTTATGTAGTTTACCCTGTTGGGGTGTGTAATAAACGTGTGGCCTCCAAGTACAAGTGTCTGCCTCCGTGGAACCCACTCCACCATTATTAAGCCGATCTCTTTTGCAATGCGATAATTGGCACAATTACAGAGGAAATGGAACACCCAACCGACAATTATGGCACCAGGATGGTGTAGTGATAGTACTTGTGCCTCACCCCAAGAAGTGTGTGTTTAATTCCTGACTCAGGTGCCTTCCGATGTGGAGTTTGTCTTGTCCACCTGTGTTCTCCATGAGTTTCTCCAGTTTCCTCCCATAGCTTTAACCAAAAAAATGCCACACAATGAAACCGGTATTAGCCAAACTTCCCAATGCTGAAAATGTACCTGCAAGTTGATCAATTGGGATTACACGTAGCTACATTGTGTCCCTTACTCGGAAAACTTGGCAGGAGCCTCCTGAAAAAAGAGGTTTAATACTCAGTGAGACTTTGCTGATGATTACTTCGGGTGTAATAACCACAATACAACGTTCTGTCTGCTTCAAAGTGGACGTTAAAGATCCCCTGATGTCCTTCACAAGAGTGCCATCGTGTGCCAGCGTCGATGATCAATATTTGCTATTAAAACACATTCCTGCGAGGGAGCTGGTAGGAACGTTGGATTTGCTCGGTCAATGGCGGCGTGGTGTATTCCGCAAATATGCCCGACTGTGAGGGCGGGCACAAGCCGGCGTGAGTAGGTTAAACGTTGAGTTTTATAAGGGCACCACGGGGTGACCAGCCCCTCCCCACCCAGCCCTTCCCCACCTCCCCTCCCACCCAGCCCCTCCCCACCCTCCCCTCCCCACCCAGCCCCTCCCTCCCCACCCCCTCCCTGCACGATGGACACAATTTGGGCTGGTGTAACCAGGAGGTTGCTACCAGTAAAACATTTAGTGCAAATATTCAATTGGATTATTCACAGCAATCATCACCCCCCACTGGCAGACCAATGCCCCAAGTGACTTTTGCAAATGAGACTATCCTGGTCTCTTGAGGAGTTCTCACCTGGTTACACAAAATATACTTTCCTGGCTAAGCAGGCATAATAAAATCAAACATTCATTTGCAATTTTTTTTTTAACGTTCCATTGCAAAACTGGAGTCCAGAGGCTGAACCCGAGGCTCGGCGTACGTAGCTCCACGAGCCGTATTCTGTTGCCTTTGCAGGAGACGATCCATTGGAGGACGAACAGAGCAGTCGCGACATCAACTCCGTTGCCGGGGTGCTCAAGCTCTACTTCCGCGGCATGAAGACGCCGCTTTTCCCGAAGGAGAAGTTCCACGACCTCATCTCCTGCGTCCGTACGTGACCTTGGCAATTAACGCACCCACGCGATGAACCACCCATGACTCGGCCATGTATGTGACTCGTCCACACGGAGTTAATCGCACGAATCGCACACGCCCGTCGCCCTACTCTTGCGAGTCGCCCGCACAGTGAGTCAACCGCCTCTGCGAGTCGCATTAATCACCGTCAACTCGTCAAACCGGACAGCAAGTCACCCGCACAGAAAATCGCCAAACCTGCAAGTTGGCTACACACAAGGCCCACAAGTTTTTCTCGTATCTTTAAAAATATGATTTTGTATCTGTCTAAAGAGTAGCAGTGGCCTTGAATTATTTTGGGTGGAATTTGTTTTGTTTTTAGCAGGAGACCGTAATGAGCATGGACGTCTCATGCAATCCCATAACATCACTCCAATCGGTCAATCTGCTTCCCGCAGACGCCACCAGAAAGTCAATAACTCTCACACGAAGCCATTAACACAGCAAGGTTAGAGTAAGGTTGTGATAGTGGTAATATGTGCAACGGAACGATAAATGGCAAATGACACAAAGGACAAGAGGTTTTATGAGCCTGAGCTTGGCATATCCATATTAGCTAGCACAAGGACTGACATCTGAATGATGTAGATTTGAAGTTTTCGTGACTGCAGGGATCCATACATAAATTATTTTATTTTTAAATAAATCATTTTATTTTATACCTACGTGACTTTACCGAAAGAACCAAAGAGTATCTGAATGATGGTTATTTTTGGTTTTTTAAACACTCACCTGCTTTTACCACTGATTATTATTATTGGGATAAATCTGTAGTTTTGCACATTACATCAATCATAAAGAATCAGCACTGGGTTTTTTTCGATTCAATTTTAGCTGTGTGTACATGTGTACAGGCATTTTTGTCAATCCACTGCTGGATGAGGGCCTGTCTGTATTTTGCGGGGTTGTGGAGGTTATATAACCATACTTGGCCACAATTACCGATGCGGGTTAGTGAAGGCAGTCAGATATAGACATGGGAGTGTCAAAATACATTACAATTATGGATCTTTCTGTACTGCCCTCTACTGCCCACAACGTAGCTTCGCGGCATATAACATGTACTGTGGTCGCCTTTCCAAGCTCTAGCCAGGCTGAAACCAGCTTAGCTTGTGGGATATGATGAGAGCCGGTGCATTCTGGATTATTTGATTGGGGGAATTGGTGAACGATGCAGCGTGGAGAACAATTGTGCACACCCCTAACCCAGCAACCGGGAGGCAGCGTTGGTGAATGGCGATTAGGTTATGTGTGCGAGGTAGGCACCTGCAGGGCAGTGAGGTGCCTGTAAGAGACGTGACATCAAGTTAGTTTGCTGCATCATATATGACAAGATTGAGTGTTGTCCCAATCTGTGGACGTGTTTTCTCTCCAGGCAATTTAGATTAAATGCTCAAAGCAGAACTGGCCAAATATTCCTATCAGGACCCTCCTGAAATTTGCCTTGAGGGTCGGTGATGAACAATTTATAACTGTTATTTGGGATAAAATTAAATTGCTGGGCTGGTGTTGAAAATGGGCCCTGTGGAGTTGAAGGGAACCCCCCCTTATCTTAGCGTCATTCTGTCCCTGTTGGCAATTCCTCACCAAATCCACCCTGCACATATCGTCGCCAACTTATCATACAGCCCTGTGTCGCTCTCGATTGATGGTCCTCCATTGTAAAGTTTATTAATTATATTGCCGGGGGCAAATTAATTGGCCCTTAAGCGATGCTGACTGGCTTATGCAAAAGAGTGATGTAATTTTAACCATTGTAAGCTGGCTTCTAATAGCAATGGTAATGCAGTGTGACAGCCTTTTGGAAGCACTGCCAGTTTGTTTTAATTCTCAAATCTGTTTACAGGATCGTTTGTTCTCTTATATCCTAACATTGCATACAACAACAACATTAACTTGGAACACATAGTGAAACCTCCTCTGGTTTGTGTTATTTCCTTGAAATAATGCATCAGTTTATCAGTTTTATTTAATTGTTTACCGTAGTTTTTGTTATGGGATAATGATAGATGACCATTTTTGTGACCAATTAAGGGCCAATTGACAGCAGATGTCTCTTTTTTATGGAGACCTGCATTTAAATGGGTGTAGAAAACAACAAACTCATTCCAGTGTGTAACAAGTAACCTGCAACGTTTTTCCATTGCATTTTATGATACATATCACTTGGTAACTTAACATAATTATGCAAACCAGAAGACATTCTCGAAACACTTGGCGTGTGTGGAAGTGGCTTGACTTCCCACAGTTACCCAATGATGTTCATAGCTTACTTTGGAAGTCTCATAGGCAGATAAATTGTTCAAGGTCACTCTGAATCAGTGGCATCAGGTAAATTTAAATACCAGTTTGTGTGGCATGTGTGTCAGTTATTTGTCATTTTGCTTCTGTCCCCATTTTCTGCAACTGCCTTCTCCTGTCCCCAACATCGCTACGTACGGCGCGAAAGAAGTTGAACATACCCCTGTTTTCTCTCTACAATGAAAATGCCCAACCGTTTTTGGACAGCGTGTTGAGACGCGGCGGTATGCAACCGCTGTATAAATCAGCATTGTACTTGTGATGCAGCGCTCATTCCGTCAAGCTGCACGTTTCGCAGTGTCATTTGACGATTGCGTTGCCGCCTTTGCCGACTGCAGAAATCGAAAGCTCGTCGGAGCGAGCTGCCGGGATCCGCAAAGTCATTCAGACCCTGCCGCCTCCCGTCGTCGTGGTCATGAGATACCTATTCGCATTTCTCAACCAGTGAGTAGAGCAGCTCTGCGACTGCACGCACAACAACAACGACAACAACCGCCATTCGCCACGAAATGGCGGTGATGTCATCATGGCGCTTGTGCCAGGCTCTGCGCAACTTTAAGGCCACGTCAAGTGTCGAACGTTCGCTGGCAGGAGGTCCTGGGATAGACCCCCAGGTGCCATGGGTTGACTGGGATGACTGGCCGATGCACCCACCTGTGCCACCGACTGTGCCAGCTTGCTGTGTTTTAGCCACCCGGCGCTCCGCTCGTTGTTGTGCACACACACACACACCTGCCTGTTTTTTTCTATTTTCCCCGTAATTTTTTCCAAAGTTGCATTTTATTTGTAATATCGGCATCGCGTCTGACAAGAAATTTCCATTCGGAGCTGTAAGTCTCACAGCTGGAATTATCCACGTGAAATGAAAAGCTAAGAGAGCCAAATTTAATGTGATGGAGGACCTTCGTGTAGTCATTGGTAATTGGGCTGAGACCATCAGCTCGCTACACTTGAGAACGTGATTAAATGACGTGTTTCTGCCAGGATTCGATCCCAGATTCCCAGTGAATTTCTGAGCCATCCGGCCCATTCTTCACCCCGTTGAGAAAGCAATGAAATCGCGTGGAGATTGTGTGCGAGGTAGTCGCCTCGAGGACGGTGAGGTTGTGGTGCCTCTAGGCGACATCATATCAAGTAGGTTTGTCACTTATCTGTGCAGACCTTTTAAGAGTTATCTCCATATCTTAATATGTTCTTTTATCCAGGTGTAGTGACAGACTGGAGAGACACTATATTAGGAGGCACTCAGTTTATTGATAGCCTTTGCCGGCGCTGAGAATACTTACAGTAAGGTCAGGACAGCAACGGCTGCCTGACCCACAACGCTGAGGCTAGAGTAAGACGATCTTGCTGATGACGAAGACTTGACGGGACTTGACGGGCTCCAGGGGTCCACTCCAACCACGGCCCCGAGTCCTCCCCGGGGTCCCCCTTATATCCCCCAGCGCAGCCTCGCACCCCCTTGGCTCCTCCGCCCCCCTTCTAGAACCCCCTAGAAGGTTCACGGGCTTCTCCCGTACCCCCTCCGCCCCTTGTCCCCACATCCCTTCCTCCCGTCTACGCCCTCACCTCTGGCGGACAGGGTTGGCATGGCAGCCGAGCTCCTTTTTGCCAGCAGCCAGCGCTGCATGCCGTAGTGACTTATTCCATATCACTAAATTGGTACTCTGGTTTCCTCCCTAACCTGTGGTGAATTAATAATTTTAGCTGTGGGGTATGATCGACTGTAATGGCTCAAAAGTATGCACCTGTCTCCAAATATAAGCAATACACTTATTCTGTGTAACAGATATCGTTGCACAGCATGTGAGCAATGCAACAGAGTAACATTATAAGCTTGGCCCACTGTGTAAATTCAGCATAACATCCTCACAAGCAACCGCGCACGCACAGCTGTGCGTTATTTGAATTGAACGAGTCAGCGATGTGCATGATGCAAACCTTGTAGGCCTTAATGGAATCGCTAAAATCCCCTCCACTTTAATTTCCCCCACCCGCACTGCGGTCCACAGCCTCTCCCACTACAGCGACGAGAACATGATGGATCCCTACAACCTGGCCGTGTGCTTTGGCCCCACGCTCATGCAAGCGCCCGACGACCAAGACTTGGTGTCGTCTCAGACGCACGTCAACGAGGTCATGAAGAGCGTCATCCAGCAGCACGAGTTCATCTTCCCCGGGCAGCGCGACCTCCCGGGTCCCATCTACGAGAAGTGCATGACGGGCGAAGATTACTGGTGGGTGAGCTGGCAATGTGCGACGCCTCTTGGCTGGGGCTTTTTTAGTTGTATGTATATTATACATTATATGTCAATTGTATTTGAAATGTACAACGTGAAATATTGGGGGGGGGGGGGGACACTTTAACATGAGAAAATTGGCTGTTGCAAATAGCGTTCAGTTTGCCGGAACGGGGTAAGAAAACCTACGGCTGAATTTGTGTGCCGCTGCCCAATGCCGCCTGCCCACGTACTGCGGCGGCCTAAATAGTAAAGCTGCCAAATTTCTGGGAGGCTTAACCAGACACGAGGCGAGCTGGCATCCCCTCCATCTGTGTGAGCCCTGCCTCCTGCTACAAAGCGAGGCTCACGGCTCACTCAATCACTCGCCCAGCGTACACAGAGTGGCCTCGCTCTTTCTGACGCTGGTCGCACCTGCTGCGTCTACCCCGCCTACTCCACCGCGCAGGAAAGCCCCCCACTCCCAGCTCACATCATGAATCGAGCTAAAGACCACAACATTTTAAATTGGAACAAAATCCTGTTATTTGCAGTTGCTTTGTAACACCATACCAGGGTGCTTGCTAGCTCTACCTATGTGTATAACGGTTGTCCTTGTGTGCATGTGCCAGTGATGGGCTGCCCTGTGGCTCCACGCTGCCGGAGGAGGTGGACGTTGACACTGGCACAGAGCCTCGCTCCAGCGATGATGGTAAAAACTTCTCACGTGGGGACACTTAGCTCGGCAAAAAAAAAAAAACCACGCCGCTTCATTCCTCAAGCGTACCTTTTTACTAAAATTGGACTCTTGAGGATTTGTTTTTCTTTCCTGCATGAAAAAATTGTGGCGATGAAAGGAGTCTCACATAAAATATATATATTAAATATAAATGATTGGTGCCAAAATCAAACGAGGCGCTTGTGACGGTAAGCTTTGGGGTTATAAATCTGCAGTGTTGTGCGTTGTAGATTTATAACCCTCAAGAACACGCACAAACTGGTATTAAAAACGAGGCGTGTGTGCAGAACGCTCGCCTGCTTAACTTCGCACGGCATGCGCTCGCTCACGCAGACGCACGCACGCAACCTACCTTCCTGCGCGTGCGTGTGTGAGCCTCCTACATCTTTCACAGTCACCCGTTTATTGTCTCGCGCAAATTCTGTACTGCTGGTATTCAATTGGCTGTGGTACAGGGCAATTTTTTGACACAACGTTGATTGCCCATAACTTTAGTCTTAATGTTCTACTTCCTCAACCCGTTTAATTTCGCTGCCTTTTCCCCAGTGTCTGGAGGCAATTCACATTCCTGGCCGTCTCCGGGTGTGTGTTGTGACTGCCCTCGGCTCTATTGCTGCATGAGCCTGTCCGCCTGGCTTCTGGGAATGTGCCGGAGGCCAATAAACGACGCTGTTGTTAATTGTTTTATTTCTGGAATGCCAAAACATACGTGATTGAAAAACAGCTGAATAGGGCATTGTAATAATTAAATTATGTCGGTGGCAGCATATGGAACTTATTAATTACACTGAATTTTAAGCTGGCTGCATTGAATGTCGCATATACATGCGAGTGTTTTGCTCATGGGGATTATGTTTGTAATACATTTTACACGTGGTTATATATGGATGGAGCGGTGGCTTATTGCTTTGCGCGCACTGCACTTTGAACCTGACTTCCAAAGTTCGATTTCCTGCAAATCAGTGGCGAGTGATTGCTGAACACGTCCTGCCCACTACCCCCACTTTTCATGTTTGGATAGTCCACACATAGGGCAACCGCTGCTGATTGCCCACGTAACGGTAGTTCTATAGATATAAAAGGGAAATTTGTGAATGTCTGTCTGTTCGAAATGTTTAGCATACTTCCCAACATGCAACAAACTTTAAATTTGGCATGTGGGTAGTTTCCAGATTGTACACAATGCAAAACGTTTTAAAATAGACTTTAGTATTTTGGGGGAAGGGGGGGGGTGCAATAATGCATATATTTTGCACGACAAGTGAGCGGTGACATCTGTCATGTCACCCGCATGCGCAGCGTTACGCAGTGTGCATGCTGGCGTCACGCATCCCCCCCCCCCACCCTCCGCTTAGGCCGTGTATCCCGCACAAATGCGCGGCTGGGGGGGGGGGGGAGAATATTGAATATAATATATTGCACAAGTGAGCGGTTTTATACTGTACACAGTTTTAAAAGTAGAGTCAGCAGATACTACTATGGAGTTAGTAGTTACTACTATAGTCAGTAGATACTACGATTGAGTCAATAGATACACTATAGATTCAGTAGGTACTACTATAGTCATTAGATACTGATGCAGAGTCAGTAGTTATTACCGTAGAGACAGATACTACTATAGAGTCACTATATACTACTCACTCTATTGTTTGTAGGGTGTTTAGGTATATATGCCTACGCGGGGGTAAAAAAAAAAATAGATGGTGGCGGGGCGGTCGACAATTTTCGGAAACCTTTTAGATCAACTATTTACACCCCAGTTTTTTTAATCATAATTTTGTTGACTGACAAATGGACAGACAAAACCGCACGCCGGGCTTTCACAATAGCTTAGTATTTGTGTATGTACATGTTATGTTTTTAAGTTTTGAAATATATTTTCCCGCTAGTCAATGTATTAACCTCAGATATGAAAGGTTGGTGTCAACCCCCAACTGAGATTTTGGACAACAAACCGAACTTTTGTGTGAGCTGCACGCTCAAATTGCTGCTTGTAAATTGTGTGGTTGATTGAGGCAGAGAGCATCAATGTAGGACTCGTAAAAGTGCAGTACAGTCATGGATGTTGCTGTACATCATCTTCTGCCCACAACCTCGCTATGCAAGCCCTGTGACTCTATATATGGTCATTTTGGTTACCCATCCAAGCACTCTCTACACCCAACCCAACCCAGCTTAGCTTCTGAGATCTAATGAGATCGGGCACGTTCTATGTGATTTCTTCACAGGCACTAACAAATAATAATGATTGATTACAAAAAACGAAATAAACTTCTGCACCTAAAGAACCACAGGGTCGTGGTTTGGCAGTCTTGTTGTGTAAACTGCGTCGTATGTACCGCGCTGACCTCCCACTCTGCCCTCCTCGACCCCGCAGAGTCTGAGCCGATCGAGGCTATTGCCAAGTTTGACTATGTGGGGCGATCGGCGCGCGAGCTCAGCTTCAAGAAGGGCTCGTCGCTGCTCCTGTACCAGCGCGCGTCCGAAGACTGGTGGGAGGGGCGGCACAACGGCGTGGACGGCCTCATCCCGCACCAGTACATCGTGGTGCAGGACACGTGAGTCGATGCGCGCCGCACGCGCGCCGGCAAGACACGACCACGGTCAAAATCGCCCAACCATTCCTGCGCGTTGCTCTAAAATCGATAAGATATTGCACTCGTGAACGAAAATCACGATTGTCAGCTGCTGTTGTTTTAACGCTGTGGTGGTCTCGTCCGTGTTGGCCACAGTGAAGACACGCTGTCCGACAGCTTGAGCCAGAAGGGAGACAGCGAGGCGAGCAGCGGCCCCCTCCTGGATGAGAAGACGTCCTCCAAGCACGACATTCACTCCCCCACCGAGCAGCTGCACGAGCCGCAGTTTGAACGGCGAGTGCTAAAGGACGTGGCACGACACTAGCACAGCATATACAACATCATACAGCACTTACTCTCAGCACACACACATCTGTATAAAGACAAAGATCCCACCTATAGTTTTAACAAACTCTTGGGGAAATTGCTGTTAGAGAGCACCCATGAAGACCGGCGTGGCAGACGAGGGGTGGGCGGGCAGCACGTCCGGCTGCTTTGTCCCCGAGTGGCGATGTTTACACATCGCACCAGGTACCCATTTGAGGCCGAGTCCACCTAGGGGAGGCCCAGGACCGGTTCAGGTAATCGTCATTGGTGTTGGCCGTGAGCGGGAAACGATCTCGGTTCGCTGGGCTCGTAGTGCAGTGTGCTAACCGCTACACTACCGCTCCCCACACACGTGCACAGTACACACTCAGTATGCACAACATCGATAAACAGCCACATACAACACACTCCCAGCACACACCACACAGGTCCGCACAACACACAGGCACATACATCTGCACATCGTAATCACTATGTGCAACACAAATAAGCATGAACACCAAACACTCAACATACACCAGAACCCCAGCATCAGTTGCCTATTACCAATAAGTACTTTTAATGTGGCTTCATGGTGCTGCTGTGATGTAATGGTTAGCACTTTTGTTTTGCAATCTAGAATTTGTGGGAGATCAAACAATGGTGCAATTATAATTTTTTACCCTTTTATCTGGCAACAAAACTGACACCTTTTTTACAAGGAGTCATGTTTGCATTGACCACAATACCTGCAGTCGGAATGCAAACAAAAACATAACTCTGATAATGTATGCACTGTCCTTGAAATTGATTGGTCCACACCCGAGACAGCTTTCCTTAGAGCCTAGTCTCACATGGTGTTGGACCAGATGACGCCAAAAGGCGCACAACTCAAAGACAATGCACCATCAGAGTATGAGAGCTCGGGGTAAGCATTTACACCATTGGAACCTCATTTGCCAGTAGCAAAATGATTTTTTTTACCCTTTTATCTGGCAACAAAGATAAAAGGGTAAAAAAAAATTATCATATTTTGCTACTGGCAAATGAGGTTCCTATGGTGGAATGGTGCAATTCTCTTAAATCCCTCCCACTTCTGTCCACCTGTCAGTATCTTATGTTATCTAGAGTTGTATAGCACCTTGATCCAGCCGCTTTACAACAATTATAGAGATGGTACATTCAGTGAAAGGTGGCTTCACCACAGTCAATCGGCAGGTTGTATGTGGTGGGTTAAAATGTGGGTATTCCCCAAGTTTTCCAACATGTCTGGCCACTGTCTAAGAGTAGACCCAAATACCTTCCGAGAGCAGGCTCTCTAGGGCTGCCTCTAGTAGAGGCCCTTCTTCCAGCAGTGGCGCGGTCAAGAAATTACAGAGCTGCACCTTTACCTTCCGTATGCTGCTTTCTGCAGGCATCGGTTGCGCGCGGAGGGCGCGGCGCTGAACATGCGCGACCCGGCCCGGCGTAGCAGCGACGGCCGCAGCCCCGTGCGTGGCCCGCCCCCTCCGTCCGCGGACGCCACCCCGTCACGGCCGCCCTCCTCCGCGGCGAGCCCTCACCACCACCCCTCGCACCTGCCCACCACCAGCACCACCTGCAGCAGCCGAGGGTGGGCAGCGTGCGGGCGGCCGTGGCGGCGGCCACGCAGGCGCAAGGCAGCCCGGAGCGGAGGAGGTTGGGCAGCACGGGTAGCGGTGGTGGTGGCGGTGGCGGCGGCGGCAGTGGCGTTGTGGGTGGTGGATTCCCGCAGAGATTGGCCGCGCCGCCCGAAAGCCCCACGGGGAGAAGTTCAACGTCATCGAGTCGACACAGCAGCCTCGACGAGCCCAAGATCACTCACGCCGAGGTGAGACATGCTGGCAGCGTGCTGTGGCTCAGTCGGCGGTGGCTACGGTAGAAACTCAAAACACCTGCCCAGGTCCATTGCCCAGGTGACCAACACGTGCTGTTGACTGACCCGTCCTGATTATTTGACCAGTTTGGGTACCAGTTATACATTGGGGGAATTGAGCGAAACGCTAGGAAATGTAACGCAGTGTGTTTAGTGTATTATTTCTGACCTTTATAAATTGTCAGCATTATTAAACTTGCAACTATAATTTCCTACATTTACTAATTTATTCAGCTATTTATTGAATTTGCTTTCCAAAACTTAATAAGCCAATATCACTCAATCCTGAGTTTACCTGGTGAAAGTCAGTTCTTAAGTAGAACTTGATGTGACGTGGATTCAGCTTCAGTCATTGGTGGCACAGCGTTATCGGGTGTTAACCGCACCCCCCACAATGTTTGCTTTCCGTTTCCTGTGCCGCAGGAGATGGACGACTCTGTGAACTCGGCGCTCAGCGACCTCCGTGAGCTGCAGAGGCAGAGCTCGGCACGGCACACGCCAGATGTGGTACTGGACACGTTGGATACTCTGAAACCACCGCCAGGCCCCGCGGCACCCATCCCTGGCAGCCCCTCGCACCGCCTCGGCGTTCCCGCAGCCCCGCCGGGGCCATCCGTACGCCGCAGCGCGAGCAGCGCCAGCGAGATCATGACCACCTTCCGCCCGCTCCTGGAAGCAAAACTGAGCTCGCAGTTGAAGTCTCAACAGCAGCAACAGCAGCAGCAGCTGGGAGCAAGGCCGAGGCAGGGAGGCGGGGCTGCAGGGCAGCCAAGGCCAGCGGCGCCTGGCACGCCCGACAAGTCGTGCACTATGTGAGGCGCGCCGATTGTCTCATGCGCGCCTCTAATCGGTGCATTGGTACGTGCAGCCACCGCTGGCGGATAGCCATGGAGTTGTCGGTGCATCATGTACTATTGTAACAACGTGCCGTGTTGTTGATATAGGTGCCGCTCACCACCGGTGAAAAGCACATTGTTCCTTCCTGTACGGCTTCACTTGATGCGTCCTCTGTTTCCTGTCATTGTCACCGCCTCCTCCTGCCTTTTCCGTAGTCGTAAATCCCAGTGTATTCCTTTCAGTCAGTCCTTAAAAACCGCACCCATGGGACCATATTATACTAAATCAAGGTGAACTAAAATATCACGAATATTCTCTTTAGTTTTGAGTGAAATATCCCACTGGAACATAAAATTACAATCCACCAATTTGGATGTACATTTGAGGATTAAATGAGCACAATATTATTAATGCATAACATTGCCAAAATACCCGTACTACATGGTTGCATCTGGTTGCCAATTCTGCTAAAGGGTCTGCATTGAGCCACACGTTGTCACATGTGGATTGCGCACGTATGGACCCTGCTTCAGCTTGCAATCTCGCTCCACATGTGGCCCTAATAGGTCACACATTGATAAGACTCGCGAAAAAGCCGAATACACATTGTGAGCTGTTTGCCAGAGTCCCGAGTTTTTGTTTTGCAAGATCCTTAGTGAAGTTGTGGCTTTCGTTTAATAGCTTTGCAAAATCACACGGGAACTTCGTGTTCTCTTGCGATAGGAAACGAAAAGTTGTTAAGCACTTGATGGATCTACAGAGAGATAGGGTTGCTCTTTAAAGCTTTGTCTACCTTTTCACACTTGTGCTTGTTGGTTTTCCGTCTACCTGGCTTGTATGTGGAGCTTAAAATACTCGTAATGCAGTATTTCTTAGACATTTTAAATGTTTACAGAACGGAATATTTACCTATAAAAGACATTGCATTGTTTGCTAGAATTATCCTATCGTCACTTATGAAAAACGTTATTGTGACCATCATAGATGTATTTAAATGTTCATTCTCTTAATGTTTATGTATAGCAGTAAATAGTATCAAACACCTGACTTAAGAATAAACAATATTATCCAGGTGAAGGCTTCTCCACTTAACATACCATCTTAAAAATATCTTAAAGAAAACCATTCACATCCTGCACGTTTACATTTCGAGAATCGAGACAAATGTACCGACAATATTTTTGTGGAAAAATTAAATGCACTTAATAATCCACTCCATTTAAACCTGCCTTGTGCGACAGTACTCTTGTTCGATTATAACCAATTTTTTGTATTTAATTAACATTTAATAAACACATTTCGTGGTAGAAATAAGCATTGTCAATTATTAAGGTGATTGGGTTGGGGGGGGGGGTAAATACCAGTTATTTTATTATTTAAAGACATTTTCATTACGGAGGTTGCCACATCAAAAAAATTTTCGTTATAATAATTTTTTATTTAGCCAGTACATTCTCAAGACTTGGATTTCAGAAGGTCCTTGCTTTGGCACGTTTGACCAAGTTAAAGATTGACGTGGTTGTTCGTCTGCATATGGCCAAGCGTGCCGTCGGAAGGTGGGGGGGGCGGACCTGCAGCTGGACTGCAATATTGAGAGCTGTAACCACGAGCAATTCCAGTTGGGCGAGTGGCTCGGCTTGCAATTGCATCGGTTGACCACGGAAAAACACCACTAGGCTCACTGATACGTCACAGTCATGCAGAAACATCACAGCCTGAGCCTGTCTGTTGAAGTTAATGGCGTTTGTACTGTATAGTGTATCGCACACTTTGTTGAAACGTTGTTTAAACTGAGCGATGACCAGTTTTAGTACCATTAGGACACAGCGGTTGTGTTCAGCCACAGAAATGCTATTTTGTTTTAAATATAATTTGTTAATTTTTTTCTTGCATGTTTGTATTGTTTATCAGAATATGGAGGGTGCGAACTCTGTACGTTTGTATTGAATCGTTAATTTCAAACTTTCTGTAAGTTACAAATGTGCTTTTGTGCGAGAGCATTTGGAAAGCCGACACATTGCCAATTTGTTTCGTTACCCTATGCTATTATTGACTACTGGCCTCTATCAAACGCTGTAAGATTCAATCGCACGTGCCTACACCTTACACTTTATGCAGCGAGGCTATGGAATTATAGCGTGATGGTGTACATTTTCAAATCGTACTATCGTACCGCACTGCCTGTTCTAACGTTGACATTAAATGATGGATAGGTTAAACTACTGATTGTTTACTGCAGTATCAAGTCCAGTGCTATCTCCACCGTAAACCCAACTTGTTGACTTTAAAACCCTCACTATTTACGTAGTTAATGCTAGTACTTTCTACCAAAGCTCCACGTAATAAATTATCGTCATCTATATTTGTGGGGGGGGGGGGGTTTGGCGAGTGCGTTTCACCTGCTTCTCCATCATTTTGACGTACAAAACAATGGACACACGGCGTGCCCGCAAATGCGGTTGTGCATGTTGAAGTCTTAAAGAGTATCATCATTACTGGAGCTCAAGCTTCAAGCCATTCCCACCGCAATGCGTGTCGCCAACAGAGTGCGGGAGCCGTAGTCAGCGAAAGCACCAGGGCATTGCCCCCGTGGGTCCGTGGCTCGCTGGGACAAGCGGTGAGCCACAGATGTTTCATCGTATGCACAGAAATGTAAAATTAATTTTCGCGACAGGGGGTGGAGTGTGGGGGGGTATTTATGAACCTCTGCGGCGGAAGTTTCTCTTCCGACACCACTCGCCTTTGAGCACTGAGACTGTCGATGCTAAATGTTGGCACAATGGGACCAGAAATAATAGATTGTTCGTGCCAAGAGGAACAAGAAAAACAGAGGGACCATAGAAATGTACACCGGTTTTGCTTACCTTTTGTAAGGCAAATGATTCGAAGATTCTTAAGAATGTCGAATGTTAAATAATTCTAAATGTACAATATATCGTAACTGAAGCAATTTAATGGAGGTGTACCCATAGATATTCCGTTTGCATCACGATGTATTAAGTGCATATACTTCGGGCATTTGGTGTTACTATTGTATCAATGTAGCCAACAGTTTCGGTGCAACACGATCCTACTGTAGGAATTCTTGGTTAAATATTAAGCCCTCGCCTTGTCTGCAGGTGTTGTTCGCTGTGGGGAGGGGCCTGCAATGTGGCTGTGTGTATGGCACCTGCGTGAACTAGACTTGGTCAAGTGGAAGCCCACGTGTTCCTTGCAATTGAAATATGATTACCGATGTCTCGGGCTTAAGCAGAGGGGGGCATTTAAAAAAATGCATTTCAGGGTGTAAAAACGTTTGCATCCAAGCTTGCATACAAAATGATTGCCCCGCATTGCCAGTGTGCACAGACATTATGGCATGTTAAATGTACCATTTCCACAGGCAGCCGATTTCATTGTAGGATTTTCGTCATGTATGCCTCTACCATGCCCTTTCCACTTTCACGGCTGAAAATGCACCCCCCCCACCACCCGAAATACCTGTTGTGGTGCTCGAGTGTGTGAAGAGTTGAACATGATCAACATCTGTAGCTGGAACATACGCCAACGTCTGACAAAGGGCACTGTTTTGTAAACCAATATGATATACCCAAACACCCACGATTCTTAGCCATGCGCTTTGTAAAAGCGTATGTGGTTGAATATAAGGTATAACCTGTATATATGTTTAGTTACACTTTGTTTACCTTTGGCTACGGTGAAAAGGCATGACTTCAGATGGTTTCTGTAAAGTATTATTTTCTTTGTTGGTCATCAAGAGTACGTGCAGTGCTTAAGATGTCACAAATCTGTGTTGAGTGTTACGTTCTAATGATTTTTTGCAGCTAGCCATTTAACCTGGGGGTTTTTTTGTTCTGTTTTCTTTATTCATGGAGATGTCTGTTCATTATTAATGATAGCAGTCAATCACAGTAGCAGAAATGTCCTTTCCATTGTTAATAATGGATGCTGTGTTGGTGTTGCAAGTGCTGTGGTTGAGGTTTGGTAAATCGAGACGGGTGACGATTAGCAGAGTGACCATCATTCTCTAATTAGACGTACGATATAGCAAGCCAAATTGGCTTGCTATGTGTAATTATTTCTGCATGGGTGGGTTAGAAACTGTGTTTATGCACTGTCTGATACATACACTGAGTGCAAACATCACCAACACAAACCTTTGCATCGTATGGCAACAGTGTAAATAAAATAATGCAATACTACTTGCTTTGTTTTGAATTTCGTATGAAGCGAGTTGGATGCTGCTGTGGGTGTAATCGACAGCACACTGGAATTGATCTGAGATTTATGGTTTAATCTACCCGGCATGGCAAGTTGAAACGATGGGTAAGGTTTGTAATCACCCACGCCCCGCTCCGTCCACCCAGGCGTACACTGGTCACGGCCACTTGATCGGTAGGTTGTGCGTGGTGGGATAAAGTGTGGGTGCTCTTAGCTTCCAAGATGCCTGGCCAGCATGGCAAAGTAGGCCAAAACACCCTCTGGAGGGGTGCTCGTGCAGAGGCCATCTCTGCGAGCAATACATTGCAGAGCAGTCACCCTTTACCTGTAATTAATGCAGTTAATACATATCGGGGTCAAACTTGGAATATTTGTATTTCAGCATACAATTCGAAGTGTGCAACAATGCAATGAGAAAACTCTTTTACAAGACCACCCATCGTCCTTCAGTGCCTACAAGAGTGGGCAGGGCTCAACCAAACTCACTTTGTATCTGCAGTGCAGAGCCTGGCTTGAGCCAAAAAAAAATTCTAATTGTGAGCTTCCTTTCTTCATCTTCACAATGGATGGGCCTGCCCTTATGCAAAGCACTTGATCTCATAAAAATGTGGTGCCTCAAGCCTTGGGAAGTTCACAATATTCCTCGTCGTACCCATAATATTATGGGTCTTGCCCCCAGACATTTAACTGACCAGAAGAGAATGGCTCAAGCATCAGCCTGCTCAGAAATGGAGAGCAGGGTCCTGACCCCCTGTCGC